CTGTTGTTTGGTAATTTTGCCGAGTCATTAGCCTATAGTGAGGGTCCTGAAGGGGGGGGGAGGGTCCCAATCCCATTTTCCACCTGAAATTTTGGCAAAATCCCAGTCCCAGTTGGATTTTTATTAGAAATCCCAGTCCGAGTTACTGAAATCCCAGTCAATAAAAACCCCTTTATTTATCGGTAGAATAGACAGTTTTAAGACCTTTTAAGCCACTGTGTGTGCAAGAGGCGGACACTTTATGAAATATGGGGGGGGGGGCGGCTCGTGCTGAAGGCACGGAAAATTTTTAAATTTGAATCCCGGAAATGGCATTAGCATCATTCTGAGACACGCAAAATAAGAAAACCCAAAATTCCGGGCGCCAGAGTATGCCTGTTCGCAGGTAATGCTGTGAATAATATAGTTAACAACAAAAATCATGACTAAAGACACCAAAAACGGATCAAAATTGTGAATCGACTCACATTACTTCAATCCCATTCCCATTTTTGAGGACTTCATTTCCCATTTCCATTGGCCAAATCCCAGTCACAGCAACCCAAATCCCATTTTCTCAGTCTAAAAATAGATCAATCCCAGTTCCCATTTTACCCCATTCAGGGCCAACTATAGTAAATGTGCATGTTTAAATGCGCTTTATTACCCTCTATTAAGTCGGTTTTCCACTAGCCATTTTTCTGCGCGAAGTGACCTTTTTCCTTTGTCCCTCGAAAAGTCAAAACCGTCAAAATTGAGGTCGGCAAAAGAGGGCCGACCTAAATCTGACCAAGGTCGGCACATCTCGGCATTTCTTAAAATCTGTTCCACGTCTTGGAGCACTATTAATCACGCATTTACGAATCATTGAAATCGGAATATAACTGGAACGTTACCTCTAGCTGGAAAATTCGAAAGTTGGAACCAAATTTAAAATCCAGACGCGCTAAATTTGATCTTCAAACATCTAACTCGTACATATACAATACCCGTCAGTTTTTAAACCTTAAACCGTAGTGTGTTCAGTTAATCGAAATACGAATTGAATTCTATAATCGCTGACATTTTAAAAAGCTATCAGCATAAAAAATTCTTACTTTGGTTGAATTAAGTAAGGTGGGAAAAAATTTGCATTTAGCTCGGCATTGCCGAATGTCGACCTCGTTTTCGAGGACTGATTTTGCCATGTCTTGCTGACGTAATAAGTGATACCGACAAAGGAAAAAGGTCGCTTCGTGCGAGAAAATTCGCTAGTGGAAAACCGACTTTATTGCCTCTTTTATAGAACAGTATAATAAGCAACAACAACAACAACAACAACAACAACAACAACAACAACAACAACAACAACAACAACAACAACAACAACAACCAAACAAATTTAATTACCTAATTATGATTTCAATAATATTATGTTTTTGGACTAGCTGCCAGAAGTGAAGATACTGTATTCGAAAAAATTTGCATTGCTGTATGTGTGGTTTCTTTGATGCATGCTATTCGTGATATTCAGTTTGAATTCAATTTTTCAGGAGGTCAATTTTGGTTTCTTCAGCGGTTAACTTTAGCCAATCCAGTTTTGCCGACTGAGATAACAATTTTCCGATTAGCTGACGAGTGGGAGTTCCCCCCCCTAGCGCCGCCCCTGATCTGATGTAGTGTACTGTATTTGTTTCAAATACATATATATGTATATTGTAGCCCTGAAATTGGTTTGAAAATATTCACTATAATTTTTGTATATTGTATTTCAGTTGTACTGAAGACTCTACAAATTCAACACAAGATTGTAAATGCTATGAAGCTTTGCCCATCGGTCATCAAGAGTACAACAGTCAATATGCACCTGTAGTTGTTGTGTTAGTTTATGTACTAGATAAAACATGAGCAGCCGATCTGTATCTGATATCGTACTTAAAAAATGACCCCTCTTATGAGTTCATTGGCGAAGTAATTTTAAAAATAAACATTGTCTATGCCGAGAAAATCAAAGCTGAAGTTTATGTAAATCAGGACAAATCTTTATCCAATTTACAAACATTGATTAAATATTAATTTCTTTTGTATTTTCCTCATGAATTATTAATGAATTTTTGAAATTACATTAAAGATCCTTATCAACTTGTGTTGTTGTCAATACCATCTGCATTTTAATATGTATCTCTGCCATTTAAATAATGGAGAAATATTGTAGATTCAGAGTGCTGTGGGTTTAGCTGGTCAAAATGAAGAAAATAAATCCATTTTGATACACATGTCTTAACTCCCTGATTGGCCCAGGAGCCTTGTTCTCGTGAATCTTTTGCAGTTAGCAAATAGCTTTCTGTCTTGTTTCATGAGATTGAATACTTCCAGGCCAGGGAAGTGTATGTGATAAAATTATCAAACAGGAAACAGGTGCATTGGGAGGATGAGACCTAAAGGGGTAATAGTGAAGGGAGTAAGTGTTGAGGAATCACTGAACAAATGTAAATTTGCATGAACATTTCATTCGTAAGTGGTAGACAATAAGCAAATACGATAGTAATTAAATTTTGCAGCTTTAATTTGACCAGTTTTAGTATTCACAAGTTTATTTCTCAAAGCATCTCTGAATACAATATCGTTAAATACAAATAAGCTGCCAACTATTACATTGAATGGAGCATCGACTGCACAAACAGTCCACAAGGAAATCCGCTGCCATGAGTGCTGCAATGTTCTTGGCTGTTAGGTCAGCATTATGTCTTCCCAAATCCTGCAATTAAAATATCAGGGTAATCTAATGTGCCTTCATTATTCACGGAACTTGATGACCACCACATGGGGTCATCCATTTAGTTCAAATGTCTCAAATGCAAGGACACACAAATTAATAAAAGTTTCATATAACTCAAATATAAAATTATCCCATCACTTTAGTACTAAACAAACAATGTATGAACCACGATTTAAGTTTTGACAGCAATCACAAAGGTCATATTATTATAAATGCAAAACGTACCTACCTGTTTTTATATTATTGTCATTTGTCAGCACTCAGCAGTAAATATCGTCGTTAATTGTACCGCCTAACTTGTTCAGTTAGTCAAGCTGCTTTGTACTTTGAATCAGTATTCTTCACTAAATGATCCAACACTTGAATATGATCTAATCCTTCTCATTTTGGCCTCCATTGACAAGTCTGGTGTTCACATCTTCAGTCCTCGCACAGTCGCACTCATTATTACGACGCAAAACTTCGGTTTTCTCTGCGATTTCATGGTAAAAAACTTCAAATTTACTTCTTGAAGCATTAATGTTATATGTTCCTTTCCTGAAACAAGGTTTGCTTAGGTTCAAGAGAAGAAAATAAGCGTTTTAAAGCGAAAACTATACATTCTGTAATAGAAATCTATAGTATTCACTCCTCAAGTGGGGCCATCCAACATGGCGGCCGTCAGCTCCAATCAGCTCACTTCCGGCTTCACTCTGAACCACCGGATGCACTATCGAGTCTTAGTGTATATCAGTGATTTAACATAAATATCGGTCATTAGGCCAACCATCTAAAAGCACGGGGAGGGTTTTGATATTCAGCAGGGAAGAGCGGGGCTGATGAATTGAATTGAATAGATAATTTTGAATAATTGGGCTGTATTCAGATACAGCCCGGAAATATTGGGCTGTATCTGAATACAGCCCGCTGTTCTAGTATTGTACCTGGATACAGGCCATGAATTTATAATCCATTGAACTTTAATTACACTACAACCACTTCGATTTACATTTCTAATACTATTTCACACAAACGTATTGAAAATATATTTCAAACTTGTTAAATACAACACTCACTTCCACTACAATATATCCATTTACTTCTTCTGTCTACATTTTAAACTCCTTGTTAATTATAAAAATAACACACTTTTCAACCTTCGCTCTTGTTATCTTCGCTTCCTAATTCCTCCTCAGCTTTTTCACGGACTCCCCGACACTCGCTATTAGTTGTACTGGTTGTCGCCAAAGACGTGTGCATCATACCAACTTGATCGAACGCTTTTGACATTTCTAGTTTGTACTCTATGCTAGGTCTCTGATACTGCTGTAACGACCTCACGTCTCTATAACCTGTTTTTTCCATAATTAACTTATCTGGAATTCCTTTTAAGAGACCACGAGTTGCCATTGTTGCTCTAAGACTGTGATTTGTAAAGTTGCCTTCTATTCCAGCATCCCGACAAAGCTTCTTAACTACCCCTCCAAGTGTGTTGTAGCCCACTGGATTTGAAGTGAACCAAACTAAAACACAGAAAATTCAGCTGAAGCTAAAAATGGAAATTAACTACAATAATCGATAAATCTAACTAAATAACTTGTTTGTATCTTTATCTGAATCATAATACTTTCGGCGAGGACTCAAATAAAAAATGGCTTTCGCTATGGTTTCTGAGCTGCATTTACCCACATATTTCTTGTACAATCGAACCAAACATCGGCTGGGACACTCTTCAGTTATATAATGTTCCACGCGCTTTCGCTTGATATTGCGATGCTTTAATCCTCCTAAATTGTTTTTCTCCCCGAAAGAAATTTAAAGGTACACCAATTTCTCATTTTCCGTGCCACAAGCCGGCTCCAGTGTCAACTGGCTGAATTTTAGAAGACGGTGCTCTCTACCACTTCGAAGTGCAATGTTTTTTCCTATTACAAACACCATTGTGTTTAATAACACACTTGCTGTATGATCCCCTAGGAGCTTAGAAGTCCAGCGTGGAAGCTTAAGCTTGGAAGAAAGGCGAAAACATAATATGGCCCGTCTCATGTTTAAGGTTGTCAATAATTTGGCACCATCGATGTTCTCATCAATGTTCCAGAATTCTAACCATATCCACAGTTATAATTTACGAGGTTCAAATTCGTCTCTCTTTCTGCCACGACCAAATACCGAGCATGGCAGAAAATGTTTTCGATATAGTGGGGTTAAAATCTGGAATAGCATTCCTGAACAAGTAAGAAACAGCAAATCTTTAAATTCTTTCAATAGAAATATTTCCTCTGTTAGTCTGACGAATTAGCTATTTGAGTTTTGTATACCATTTGTTTTGTAATATGTATTTGTATTCGTAGTTCTTAATTTTCTTAGTGATTTTGTATTTTATATATTTTTGTAACATTTATCTACGCCCCACTTGGAAAGCAGCTATGGTTGAAGTGGCCAGCGTAGTCAAATAAAGTTTTATCCTATCCTATCCTCATCAGCTTCAGAAAAGGCTTGAGCTTGTTTAACGTTTGCACCAACACCCTGCCCTGTTAGGCGCTTCATTTCTGCATCAATCGAGTCCTAAAAATGTTTAAAATTAGGGTCTTCGAAGAAATTTAAAGCTGGACGACCATTATTTCTTAGATATCGTAGCAAAGCACAACACAACTGATACAGCGTATTAGGCGGATAGCATTCCCCTTTGGTTGCTTTCTTCCGAACTTCGACAACAAATTTCGCTAACCAATGCCTAAGTTCTACATCACTGACTTTACAAATATCCAACCCGACTTTCTTGTTGGCTGGTGTTTTACTGTTCCTTTCTTCCGCCCACTCTTTCCACACACGAACCGCCCATGCTGTATTACGCTTCGTGTTTAACGGGATTCGGGTTTTCTTCATTTTCTGTAACTCTTCGTCGCTAATAAGTGATATATTTCTTGCATTTGTTGACTCGGCATGACTAGTATTTGCACTTGTAGACTCGCTGTTACTAAAATCAAGATTTTCAGTCTCTAAAATACTTGAAATTATAGTTAATTCGTCATCCAAAATAACAGGATCCGCTAAAAATCTATTTTAAGTTAATCCTGACAGTGAAAAGTCTTCCTCGTCACTATCCATTGTGTGAAGTGCGGATGCAAACAATTCGTCAAACTGAGGCCAGAAAATTTTACAAAAATATGTAGAAGAACAAAATAAGAATAAATTAACTAGCGTATAACTAGCGTAATGCTCCTTTGAGATCTTCATCTTTTTTTGTACCAACAATAAGTCCGCATACCTTCCAGTATTTTCGTTCACAAATTACACTGAACAACAACAATTTCTATAGAAATTATATCTTAAATTATTCTTTTGAGAAAACTTCCTCAATCATGAAATAAGTCAGTTAAAGCCCTCGAACCTGGGCTGTTAGCCAGATACATCGGTACTCGGGCTTTAACTCAGTCTCACTTAAAAAACTCATTAATAATTCATGAAGAAAACACAAAGAAATCATGGCCGTGAAGGAGTCTGTATATGTGATACAGATTCATGTTGATTTACATAAACTTTAGATAACGTTTATTTTTAAAATTACTTCGACAATGAACTCATAAGATGAGTCGTTTTTTAATCCTTCGGCTCGAGTTTGTATATCCGATACAACACGGCCGTTCATGTTGTAAATAGTACTTACTGTCAATACTGTGTGACATTGACATATATATTGTAGATATTATAATATATCACATTTACAACAATATGTCAGGAAAATATCAATAACTCAATATAGTTCAGAGAATATAGTTGAAGAAATAACAAAAATATACCGGGTGTCCCAAAAAAAAGTACTCCGGTTTGATTCGTAATAACTTCTAAACAAGTAAAGCTTTTAAATAGAAATAACTTGCATCAAATAGACGAAGGACTAACTTAGATTTTGGTATGTTACAGTTGTATTTCACGTAATAATTCACGGAGATATTAAATTTTAAAATCGGGAGCATATTTTCGGATGTGCCTGAAATATGCAAAAAAACGGCGTATCAAATATTAATCAAAATTTGCCCGATTGAAACATGCACTGTTACCATTAAATGAATGACACTTGACAAACTGTTTATTATGAAACAAAGTATTATTATCTACAAAATACAAGCAAGATTTATTCGTCCAAAATCCGCGTGTATTCCTTAGACGAATACGTTTCCTTATTTCATGAGACCACTGCATCGCAAATTAAGGTCGTCATGGATATCGTTCGTAGTTCTGAATTAGGGCATGCTGTCACAATGGAATTGTGAAGCTCTGATCTTCTAACTTCTGCAAAGTTCTGAAATCTTGTTAAGATACTAGAACACTCAAACTCTTTTGCTTTTTCTTAATCTTGTTAAGTTCAGAATAAACTGAGAATAAAACACAATCTAACCATACAACTTCATAAGACATAACAAGCAACTCCCCAGAGACATCCAACATTTTTGGAACAAAACGTAACAAAATAGTAGCGTTGATACTGTGATGTGTATTTGCAAAAAGCAATAATATTTCCTTCATTAAAGAAATCATCCTGCTCTAACCGAGAAATAATCAACTCTGTTTTGAACCCATGAAAAACATAAAAAATTAGGCTATTTAACAAAAATTTAAGCGCCTGCCTTGCATATATGGTTTTTCATGTACCTTTTAGCTTGTAAAGACCTATTAAATACTTGCATAATTTCGAACGTTCAATATTTCAGGAAACAATCAGCTAAGACTTACATGCATGTTAAAATGCCTAAATCTACCCCATATCCCTTACAAACCCTAACGACAATTCATGATTCACTGAAATACAAGTTAGCCTGATATGTCATTAAGCAAACAAACGCTAGAGTTAATATTTGATATGCCGATTTTCGCTGATTTTAGACACATCCCAAAATATGCTCGCCATTTTGAACATTAATATCTCCGTGAATGTTTAAGTAAAATACAACTGTAATATATCAAAATCTAAGTTAGTCCTCCCTCTATTTAATGGAAGTTCTTTCTGTTTGATAGCTTTACTTGTTTAGAAGTTATTATAAATCAAACCGGAGTACTTTTTTTGGGGAGACCCGGTAGAATTGTGATTACATACAATTGCGAACGTTTGCATATCCAAACTGTATAAATAATTATCTTAAATCACGACCGATAGCTTATATACTCAATACCTGTACTACCTATACGTGCCCACAAAATAAAAATGTTCAAGAGCCAGTGAACGACTGAAAAATAACGAGCAGCATTTGGAGGTTTAAAGAATTATTGGGCTCAATAAAAAAATACACCTCGTCAAATAGTCCGCCCCTAATGCATAATATTTCAGTAAAAATGACACAATTTTCTTTACGCAACAAATCTCTAAATTGGGTAAGATGTCTTGTATTTTGAAAATTGTTTCCCATTTACAGAGTTGTTGAAATAGGTGCCAGAGTCTTTTTCAAAGGAATTTGAATTAACTTATTAAAATTCCTCTTTTTATAGTAAGCGCAGGGTAGTTTATTGCGACATTGTAAATTAACATTTGATGTATTCATCGTTCGATTTCTATGACTAGGTTGATTGGGAACTTCTCCTTCGATCTCGCTTGCCCAATAATTATTCAATAATAAAAATTGTACCGTTTCACTTTGTCTCTCTTCCAACGATCCATGCGAAAATTGGTTACATTGCTTTTTCTGCCTTTTATTAAACCTTAATTTCTAAAGAATTTACTTTAATGACTGCGTTGTTTTAAAACAGCGTTATTTTTCCAGTGAAATTGTGAAAAACAAACTCATTTTCTTGTTGATGGTTAGCGCGAGAATTTTTCAGTTGATTTCTTAAAGTAATACGTAGAGGGATACAATGTTGCTTCGAACTGTGATTATAATTTGGTTGTATTGATGAAGAAACAGTTCGTTGATTTTTAATATCGTTGTCCATATTACTATGAAAATGTTATCCGACGGTCAATGTTAGTGTGATACGGTTGACTGGCACTAAGTAACCTGCGATCAGGTCTATAAATAAATAAATAACAATAATTTCCTGATTCATTGTGTTTTGGAAATTTGGTATTATATGTTCAATATTTCATCACAACAAAACGACGGAGATAAATATAAACCAATTGTCGACAAAACATCAAAGATGAAGGTGAAAACATCGCTATTTTGGTTGACAAATTCACATATTTTAAGTATTAAATGTTACTAAACAGCAATATTATACAATTACTTTATGGTTTCCGTGTTTGGATGGCCTGATCCAAACACGCGGGAATGTTGGGAGAGTTAAGAAAAGGGCGGGAAATCACGAGCCGAATTGTTTTATAAAATAACAACAACACGATAATCTTCCTTGTTTGGATGGCCTGATCCAAACACGGGTTTCGACCAATCACAGCACGCGTTATATACATGTTATTTTATAATATTATTTGAAAGTGTATTAATTAATAAACCTATACTGGCTATAGAATTAATTGGTGACTAATTGTACGCCCTTTTCATATTTAAGGAGTCAAGCTTTGATATCGAATTCACCACTAACTAAAGCAACTGTTGACTGAAGTGATTATTTGTCATTCAATTAAGGTTAAAAACAATATTTAAACAATATTACAGGAGTGTAGCGTTGAAACTAAGTAGAAACAATGAAACCAAGTATATTTCTTTTTGAATATTCTCGACATGTTTCAAGTTGGTTTTTAGCAAACCATATGTTTGTTTCATTTACAAGTGGCATTCCTTTTATATTTTATATGTTCTTTATACTAAGATCTTTATATTAATTAGAATTAGAAAGTTGTTTATATTAATTGGAAAGTTGACAGAACATTAATTATTAAAATCATGATTGAATATTTTGAAGTATATACTATTACAGTAATATGGGTATTATCATTGCAAGTTATTGCAATGGCAGACTTGTATGTACATTCTTTTCATGCATGTTAGCTATATATTAAAGAAAATTAAAACAAAATGCTGCAATGTTGTTATTTTATGTGATAACGATAAGTACGCTGTTTATCTTTGAGAGTACAGGACTAGCTTACTACTCGCTAACTCTCCATTCGATTTGAACATAGGTGTATCGGTATAGATGACATTTTTTCAACTAAGCATAAAAAGGCCCGACTTTTGATTCCTCCCCGTCCCAGCAGATGCCACACAGAGGTAAAACACATACGTGTTTAATTAATTAAGTCTTCGAATTAATGTAATTGTGAATATTGCGTTATTAACTGTGTAATCGCAGTACTATAGAGCGTTTCACATGACGTCACAGCCGCCATGTTGGTGCTCCAGTTCAAAAGAATTTTAATTAGACTCTTTTGTCTGGAACACCAACAAGGCCGCCATGGCTTTTGTTGAGTTAATCCTAGGGGAATGAGTGCAAACACTTTATTTACTAGTAACTAATACTAGTTTTTCAATGTTCTGTATCTTGGAAGTTGGGCGACTTGCACTAGGCGCCAACTTGGTTGGCGCAGAACGTAAAATGTTTTCAAGTTTAGAATCCTAGATTGTCAGTAATGGCATTTTCAGAGCAGTTTCTACCCGTTTTGTTAGACATGTAGGCTGTAGTACTGAATAAGGTTGCTCTTTTTAAATTCAATTTATTTCCCCTCCCATATTTTATGCCAGACTTATTTATTCCTCGCCCCTATTTTATGCCCAATTTTAGCCAACTTGTCGACTTTTTATCAATATATATTATATTCAATTATTATGTGACATGTGTAAATTCTGAACGCTGATTGGCTAAGAGCCGTGTTGCTATAATTCAACGCTAAAACGTTAACTTTCATTAACTTTTCCCATGAAAAACGTTTTCCCCTTAAGCTGTTTCATACAATCCTGGCAATTATCTTCTAATTCAACGATGCATCAACAAAAACATATTTTGAAGCTGATGTCAGCTGACGCCCATGCCCATGACGTGATTTTCGATCAGACATAATGCCGAACGTCAAATTTAGAGAATTAGACATCAAATTTTAGAGGTAGATCTCAAATGTTGAGAGGTGAATAGTAAAAATGCGAAAAAGGCAGGTTGAAAGCAAAGCTTGACAGCGCTAGGCGATCAATCAGGACACGAACGCGACATGTTTATAAGACAATTGTCACATAACTTACCTCTATTTGTTTCACATGTAATCCAGGAATACGAATCCACCCATTACCTTTACAATCTTCTTCTGTAACTCCAGTACGGTAGTAAACATCGTTATGCCAATTCACGCCATAGCATCCCATAACGTTACAACTTACGTATTTTAATAGCCCATCCAACCTAATCCAAGCTGTTCCTTCCGGTATATCGGTGGTAATACCACGGCGACAAAATATGAAATCAGGCTGATTTACCGCATACACAATACCTCGAGGACCAGAATCAATTTGTTTAAACTTTTCAGGAAGAATTTTTTTCCATTCAGTACCAGAAGGAGTTGTAGAAGTAACACCCTTTCTAATATGAACGTCGTTAAGGGAGTTAACCCCCCAAATACCAGCTTCACCTGGAAAATTAAGGTTTACCAGGATTGTAAAATAATATGCAAACTCAAGGATAGCAAAGTATTACTTTGGTGACAAATAGCAAAAGTTTGGAAACATTTTAGGCTGCTATACGCTCATGAGACAGATTCGATAAAATAACCAATTTGAACTGGTTGTCCCAGATGCATTTCCATTTAACTTAAGCAATGTATTTAAAACAACTGAAAAGTTGGTTAATTTAATTTAAAATAGCTAACCAAAATTTTCGTTATTGTAACCAAATGCAACCTCCTCCTCAGGGCATTTTGCCTCTACGGCTGAAGGTCGGTGAAAATGGCCTTGAGATCGACTGATCAATTCTACAATCGCATTGGTCTTATTCAAAACCTAATAATTCCTTTCCAATATAATATATTCAAACAATTCTAATGTTTTAAATTGTCTTCAAACCATACGGCAAAGTTTAATAAGAGAATATACTGAGAGCCTAGCAAAGATTATCTGGTCTTGTACTCGATGTGCAAGCATATACTTCTCTTAAAATAACGTCTTTTGATAACTAAGTTGCCAAATAGTTCATTACTTCATAATCATTTATTACTCTTAAATAAACGACAAAGATTTAATTTCAAATTGTCGTATCAACACATTGAACCAAATGGTCAAATATGTGAATCTGGGAAAATCAATTCAAAGAGGTTATTTTGAACAGCTCTTTTTTTCGGGTGCGGCGGGTACCTTGGTTTCCTCATGTGATAACAGCATGCCGATAATTGCAGCCAATGTTAGACCTCAAAGGACTATGGTTTAGTTACTGAGACTGGCCCATTAGATTTGGTAACTCACGTTTATTTTGCTGCTTGATGACGCACGATTTACCATCGCAAGTGAAATATTGTCACATGAATGCTTACAACCAATATTGTTTACTCTTAAACAACATGAAAAAAGAGCGAGCAGGTAATTCATATAGAAGTAAACTTACTGTAGGCGTCAAATATAGCAAATGTGTGTGTGTTTCAATCGTTTGCAAAACATATTTAACATATAAACCCATATGTTCGTTTTGCAGAGAAAATAACGTAAAATTACCATGGCCATTTGACAAAACCATGAGCGTATACAGGATTGAAAAATATGGGAAGGCAAAAAGAAATTTCACCGGCTACTTTTCAATTTTACTCGACTTATCAAATCAATTTTTCTTGCTGAACTTCCAAATATTTCGAAACCATACATACTTCTTCCGTTTTCTACTTTTATCTCACATATTTCTTCCCCTTAAATTTATTTTCCCATCTTGATGTCCTCCTACTTAAGTACATAAACTTCTGATCACTATTTTGGCCTATATACACCATCAGGATTTCGAAGAAATGGAATATTTTAAGTAAAACATCAGCTTTACCTGTACTGACATGCTTCATTGAGCCTTCTACTTGTTCCCATGTGCTGTTTTTACTCAAGCGATAGATATAGTTATTAGAGACTCCCCAAACATCCGTTGTTAAACCGTTGTCAATTTGCGTCAAATGTCCATCTTTTTTTATCCAATTAACTGGGAAGAATAGAGGTAAATAATACATAGGAATCAGTTATAACCCAAGGTTTGTTTGAATGAATGCTTGTTCGTGACATTGTTGCTCAAAACGGCCAGGCGAAGTTTATTTTACCCCCAATCATTAAATTTATGCACAAACATTCAATATAAAGAAACCCGTTTGTTTTTTCAAAAGATTTTAGAAATAAGAAATTAATTTTTTAAAGGCATCCCTGGGCAGGATTGGGTCAGCATTGATGAAGCCGTTTGAACGGGATTAAACTGGCTGCATTCCAGGAAATTTTACCACATTTTTATAATTGACCTATTAATTAGTCTCATAAATCCAGTTCCATTGAAGAGAAATAAGATTGAACTCGTACAGATAAATGCAGGCCAAGTACTTGTGGTGACATGATTATTGCGTAAACATATTTCGAATGAAATAAAGGATTTTCTCCTTCGGAACATACAGGAACAACAGCATACACGGAATTAATATCAGTAGTGTTTTTCCTCATTTCCTCATTTCCTCATTCCTCATTTTCCTACATACGGTTTAAATTAATATACTTTAATGCTATTTAAAGCTACTGTAGTCTTGCCTAATAAATTTAAATTAAAATGATCATACATTTTTGGCAATTATCTCTGTACCATCCATCAGCGCAGGAAACACAGCTGCAGTTAATTGTCTGAAACAGAAAAGCAATAGCTTAGCGTTGGTCAATTTGTGGTTTGCTCAAACTTGCTTAAACGACCACAGAATTGCGTATAGGAAATGCGTCAAGATAATACCGAAGCACTCCCAATGTTATAAATAGAACCAATTTAGTCCCTGCGGAAGTAGAAGCAGTCTTCCTTGAAATAATAAAGCCTAAATCCAAGTCCATATTTGTTGTGTCAGTGTATAGAGCAACAAACTCCAGCATTGAATTGTTTGAGAAAATTGAAACATTATTTCAAAATTTAGACAACGAAAGTAAGGAGCTGATCGATACTTGTAGGTGACTTAAACTGAGACTTCATAAAAAATGCTGCTAACAACCAGTCGAAACGGCTGATCGACTTAATAAATGTATTCCAATTAACTCAGTTGATTAAAGAACCAACACGTATCACAGATACCACAGCTACTCTTCTTGATGTGGCCATTGTAAGCAAACCGAATGATATCTGCAGATCGGGAGTTTTGCATATAGGAATAAGTGACCACAGTTTAATTTATGTTTGCAGAAAAATATCTTTTGTTAAAAAAGAGATAAAAACCGTGAACGTGAGGAATTATCGAAATTTTAATCAATAACATTTCAACGATGATCTATTTCATCATCTAACTCTTTTAAACTGGGAAACTAACGATCCAAATATACTTTGGAATAATTTTGAGAAAACTTTCAATTATGTCTCTGATACCCTTGCTCCTTTACGGAGGAAGAGAGTGAGGAGTCAAAATACGCCGTGGTTTACTGATACAACTAGAAAATACATGCATGCAGAAACCCTCGCCTTGCTGACAAAACCGTCATGGTAACACGATAATTTTTTAAGAATATTCTTACAAATGAGAATCGCCTAAAAATATCACTTTTAATTACAAAATTATCAATTTCCCAACATATTTATGTTAGGTATGTAATTATACGTAATACAAGCTTCAGTTTAAGGTAAAATTCAACCACAAACAATTCACAAAACGTTTTAAAGTGTTCTTTATAAAACTAAACTGCCTTTAACTATTAAATGGCTTTATCGATAAACTTTGAGTTTGCAATAAAATGATTTCAAATTCTCGCTTGCAAATAACTTTGCTTTATTTTTATTTAAAAAATTCAATATAATAAAAAAGGGAATCAATATTAAAGATACACTGAAATTATATGCTGTCTTGTTTAGTTGTTTCATATACGCAAAGGCCGTCGGGTTTTAAAGCCATTATAAAATCAATATTTAAAACAAACTTACCTTCGTTAACGTCGGCTCCCTTCTTTTAGCTGATTCTTTCGCCCTTTCTTTCATGAAATTTACAAAATCTTGCAGAAATACGAGCAAAAATGAAGAATATTTGCAAGAAATTTATCAATCATCAACTCATCAAATCAAGAAATGTTTGCTATTTCGCTGTCGTCATGCAGCCGTTATAATGCAAACTTTAAATTGGACCAATCAGTGTCCGTTATTCATGACAGTCCGCCATATTTTTGAGATCAGTGAGGATGACCACACATCGTTGGTGACCGACGCCCGCGCTCATTGATGAACTTTAGACTTCGCTAATGCTTTCGTTTCCCCGGGTGTAAATAGCCGGGGGGAATTAGTACCCTCGCACGGCGCTTCGCGCCGCCGGCTCGGGGATAAAACTCGATATGAATCGTAGAGACTATATTAAGAAAAAAGCGGTAAAAAATAATTCGTTGTGGTATCATAATGCTTATAAGGCACTACGTAATAAGATAAACAAAGATGTCATTTGCGCTGAAAGGAAACATTATGTAAAATAAATGGAGGAAAACATAGGAAACCCTAAACTTATGTGGAAACACTTAAATTGTCTGCTAAATAGAAAGTCTAAACGTACTGGTGTACAAGCCATCAAAACTGACGAGGGAGACGTTGTCGAGAGCCAGACAATAACCGAACTGTTTAATGAGTATTTTTCTAATATTGGTCCAACCTTATCAAACCAAATAACAAGCATAAGTAGCCAGGGTTTTGAAAGTTACATGACGCATGAAGCTTCTGGAATATTTGAATTTGCGACTGTTGATAGCACAATTGTACTTAATGAACTGGAAAAATTTAACTCGTCTAAATCGACAGGCCCAGATAATATCCCAGTTAAACTGTTAAAAGACTCCAAAGAGACAGTTGCACCTTTCTTGGCATACATATTTAATACTTCCCTATGTAGTGGGATATTCCCTGATAACCTTAAGGTGTCAAGAGTCTCACCAATTTATAAAAAAGGTGATAAAAAAGAAAGGGTTAATTATAGAAAGATATCTGTTTTTTCAACTATCGCTAAACTATGTGAGAAGCTCGTATGCATACAGTTACCAGATTATCTAAATGCAAATGACATTCTAAGCCCGTGTCAGTCAGGCTTCCGTCAGAACCACTCAACAATGTCGTCCTTGTTGTCAAATAGCGATTCATAGCTAGTCAATATGGATGCTGGGCTTGTAAACGGAGTTGTATTTCTTGATCTGCGTAAAGCATTTGATAGGTTGATCATGAAATTCTCATTAAGAAGATAAAAATGTATGGGGTGCAAAATATTGCCCTCAAGTGGTTTATTTCATATTTATTTGATCGAAAACAGTTTTGCAAGGTGGGAAGTGCAGCATCGTCAACAAAAAATATACGCTGTGGAGTTCCACAGGGTTCAAATCTCGGTCCATTGTTATGTCTCTTGTATGCCAATGATCTCCCGAACTGTCTAAGACACTCTAGTGCTGAAATGTATGCGGATGATACGAATTTGACGGCGTGTTCCGATGATATTAACAATTTAGAAGCCATTTTAAATTCGGACTTGAACAACATCCATCAGTGGATAGTAGCTAATAAATTAACTTTGAATGTTGGTAAAACAGAGTATATGATTATTGGGACACGGCGCCGAAATTAAAAAAATTCTCAAGTGACATGAATATTAACATCGGTGGGGAAAACTTAACACAAGTCGTTTCTAAAAAACTCTTAGGCATAATAATAGATGATCAATTACGCTGGGATTCACAAATAGAAAACATAAGTAACAAAGTATCACAAGGCATCGGCATGTAACCACTGCCGTAGCCAGCTCGATAATTGGGGAGGGGGGACAGATATTCATATATTCGTGTTCACAGACCATAAAAACAATCGATTTCAAAAGAAATTAATAACGCAGTACACGAACATATGAATATCTGTCCCCCCCCCCCAATTATCGAGCTGACTACGGTACTGCATGTTACGACGAGCTAAACAGTTTGTTAAAAGAGAAACGCTCCAATTTCTTTATAATTCTATGGTCCAACCTTATTTTGACTATTGCTCCTATATATATATATATATATATATATATATATATATATATATATATATATATATATATATATATATATATATATATATATATATATATATATATATATATAAAGTTGTTAGTTTGTGGAGTTTGGGATTACGTCACTTTTGGTTGCATGCAAGTCGCTTCATGAAGACAAGACTTTCCAAAACGCTTGGAGACGTGAGTGTGATATTAATAGCCTACTGTGTATTTAAGTCACGCAAAAAACAATTTTTAGCTATAAAATAATATAACTTACCCTGGTTGGCTGAAGTAACACCAAGTGATCAAAATTTTCATCATGCTTCATTTGTCCGGGTTGTTCGGACGCGGGGAAATGAAGTAATTCACAATTATCTTTGCATTCTGAAGACGAACCTATTTTGTTATAGTTGACTGATCTGCAGCAGTTGTGATTCAAACAATGAAGAACACATGCTGGCCCATATGCTGCGTGCAGAGTTCTCAACACGGGAACATCAAGACGGCGATCTAATATAATGCAAATGCAATTATCAATTATTGCAATAATTTCAAAATAAAAGTTTGTTTGGTTCAAAGTGTACAGGTAGTTAAGTTTGTATGATCCAAAGTCATACTTGATCCAAATCATGCAGCTAACATTTCCAACATGATAAGGGAAAGATATACAAGAAAGAAAGAAGATAACAGAAAGTGGGGATGGTTTTATGAGGCAGAACACTTGTTGGAGAAGAGGAACAGTAAGGGCACGTATATTTTTCACTTATTATATATGAAGTTCAATGATTCATCAAAATACTATTTTATCCTATTCCATAAATGAACGTTGATTTACTAGCTTAGCTGTTGTTTATCTTTCCTTAAAACTGCCTTTATTATACAGGGTGTATAAAAAAAACTGAACAGATATGAATTTGCTCTCAATTTCGCAAAACAGCTATTATAGTATCCAGTTTTTGATGTATATAGCTTCTTTGAGTACTTGTAATGTAGAATAATGGAAAAAAATGCTCGAACTCAAATTTTGCGAACCAGGGGGGGGTGTGTCTTTTCCAACAAACTAAAAATTGCTTGCGCACGTAATTTAAAAGTTTTAATCATATTTTGAGTTAACAGATGGAAAATTTGTTGGGTTTTTTAATTACTCTATAAAATTTCAGACAATTTGCTTTAGTTTATGTCCTATAAATATTCATACAAACTTACATTTTTTCCTAAAAATCAGCTATTTGCATGCTTAATTAATGCCTTTGCCTAACTAGCATATGTCAGCAATATAAAGGCATTAATTAAGCATGCTAAAGGCTTACTTTTTAGAAAAAAAATCAACAGTTAAAAGGCTTAAACTAAAGCAAATTGTCTGAAATTTTGTACAGTAATTGAAAACCAAACACCTTTGCGTCTATTAACTCAAAATATGATTAACGCTTTTAAATTGCGTGCGCAAGCCATTTTTAGTTTGTAGGAAAAAACACACACCTCTGGTTCACAAAATTTGAGTTTGAGAAAGTTTTTTCATTATTCTACATTATCAGTACCGAAAGAAGCTATATACATAAAAAAAACTGGATACTTATAGCGGTTTTGCGAAATTGAGAGCAATTTCAAATCTGTTCAGTTTTTTTTATACACCCTGTAGAGCGAAGAATACCCATTTAAGTGAAAGGATGGCCAATTGAGAGCAGCTCTTGGGAATCAGGTGAAACTCTGTGTTAATCCCTGAGCAATCGGCGCGGAGCGACGTTCCGGGCGTAGTAAGCCCTGGGCGGGGGGGAGTAATTCCGCCCGGGATGTATTTTCTAGTAAAGATCCAGACACACCGGACGCGCGTTTTGGCAACGCGACGCGATTTTTTAGTTTTTGAAAGTTAATAAAACAGCCTATGAGAACAAATTTTAAAAGATATGTAGACCAAATAACTCAAAATGTTATATATAGGGCTTCTAAAAATTTGAAAAAACTAGGATAAACGTTATTGGTCATTGAAAATCGAAAAATCGTGTCGCGTTGTCCAATCGCGTCAGGTGTGTCTGCATGGACTTTAAGGTCCATACACACCATGGACCTTAAGGTCCATACACACCGGACGCGATTCGACAACGCGACGCGATTTTTAGTTTTTGAAACTTAATAAAACAGCCAATGAGGGAAAATTTTGGAAGACATGTAGACCAAGTAACTCAAAATTAAAATGTTATAGCGCTTCTAAATATTTGGAAAATTTAAATTAGGACCAAAGTTATCGGTCAGTGAAAATCGAAAAATCGCGTCGCGTTGTCAAATCGCGTCCGGTGTGTCTGGACCTTTGTATGTATGTATGTATGTATGTATGTATGTATGTATGTATGTATGTATGTATGTATGTATGTATGTATGTATGTATGTATGTATGTATGTATGTATGTATGTATGTATGTATGTATGTATGTATGTATGTATGTATGTATGTATGTATGTATGTATGTATGTATGTATGTATGTATGTATGTATGTATGTATGTATGTATGTATGTATGTATGTATGTATGTATGTATGTATGTATGTATGTATGTATGTAAACTTTATTTAAAGACGTTAGCCTCGTCAACGATTAGTTGATTTTCACGAGGGACGTCTGTTACTATTAAAAATTACAAATATGATATAGAAAAGAATAAAGAATTATATACAACTATTTACAATACAAGAATTAAGTTCCAAACGGTGTGACCCATATTTCTAAAGCATGCATATACAGTATTTCAGAAGATGTTAGCATGAATCTTTCAGGCAGTTTTTAAAAGAATAAATTGATTGCGCTAGCTTCGCATCAGAAGGAAGACTATTCCACAATTTAGCTCCGCTATACTTAAAGCTTTTTTTTAGAAATTCTCGTTTTGGCTTAGCAAGGGTAAGGTCAGTATAAGTATTGCGAAGATTATAACTGGTTTGAACAAGGTCCCTTCTCATTAGAGCATCCTTCAAGCTCGGCCCAGCGCAATCATTCAGGACTTTATACATTAATGTGGATTTAGTTGTACGTTGTCTTATCTCTAAATTTTCCCAAGCAAGGAATCGAAGAACATCAGCAGACCTTGTTCCATAGCTGGCGCCGGTTATAATTCTCGCTGCACGGTTTTGGAACTTTTGAAGCTTACTTTCAGCTGTTGGTTACAGACGTCCCATAATGGACTACAATAATCAAAATACGGTTCTATCAAAGCTCTGTAAATGGTATGCAGGGTATTTATAGGAACATATGGCTTAATTCGTTGCATTGCTCCTATGCCGGCCCCAACTTTCTTACAAATCATTTAAACATGCTCATGCCAATTAAGGTTTTCATCAAGTTTAACCCCAAGGCATAGTATATTTCAGTTCGCAAGGCGCGGCAACGATTGGCCCGTGCAGCTATAGGGTTCAAAGCAAGGTCTAAATAACCCACGACTATGTATATTTTCGCTCCTATAAATTGCCCGTTTGCTCGCTTTATACGTAGTTTTGAAATTCAACGTTTGAAAATTTCCACGTTTTTGGGCAAAGAAAAAACGACAATGCACAAAAATACAATTGGAGCGAAATGTAGGACGTATAAAAAACCTTCATGCTCGCTAACAAATTAGGATTAGACACTAGCAGCCTAATGTATGTAAGCGCCGCCCACTACATGTTGTTTAAAAATCGCTTCCCACCTTAGCAACCTGCATGCTGACGTCAACTAACACATGTGTCCTATTTGAAATACGTGACGTCGCGTCATTTTACAACAATTCTCCCAATACAAGTAGCTACGTTAAGTTAAAGTTCTAAATTTTATCATTGTCTTTTATGTAATTGCGCGTTTGCCATGACAAAGTATTTGAGGCAAATATTGTTCGTCTCTTCTTTAAGGCCCTGTCACACTCTTGCGTATCGTTCTAGCGTATGCCAGCGTATGAAAAATATCACTCATACGCCGGTATACGCTGACATACGCTTGGGGTACGTTAGGCAAAGGTTGTATACGTTTCAAGCACGGTCGCGTACGGTGGCGTACGCTGGCATACGGCGAGGCAGAAAATTTTTTTTAAGCATGCTCAAAAATTTTGTGCGTACCGGACATATGCTTTGTACGATGAGCATACTCTATAGGCACACGC